TATATACATATACATATAAAATACCCAGACCGATACAAACAATAATACTTCACAAATGTGTGAATCGAGGACGTTGCCATAATGTGTTTAAAGTAACTACTAAGTTAGAATGTATTGAATGCATACTGTCTATAACTGCATAGGTAAACTAATCTAGAGCAGCCGCGAGTAGCGCTATGATCGACCGGATCATAAAATTCAATTACGTGGCAGACAAAATAAAAACGTGCCGGCCGTATCGTCTATTTGCTTTCACTTTGTATCTCCCCGCATGCTACCTTAGCTTATACATCCATTTTGTTGCCAGTGAATTGAGAGCCCAACCACCAGTCACAATCTTCCAGAAAAAGGAAAATACGGGCTCTTGAATGTTTGGTTATATGACAGGTCGAAATCGCCCTTCATCTGGAGAAATGACACTTTTGTTCGGTTTTCATAAAGTTTAATTAAATATCAAATGGTTGTATATCAGGAAAGCATGATTTGATTGACTTGAGGAAATTGAAATTGTAGTGGAAATTACACTTATGATTGAATGAAGGCGTTTTATCATAGATGTGGGTATGTATCGTATATATTATGTACATTACTTGTTCATTTTTAGCTTTAATGTCTAATTTTCTTTTTAAATTCGATTCAGTTGGCCCTCAAAAAAATATCTAAAGAAATATTTTAGGCTAATCGTAAAATCAATATTTCATTGCAAAAGTGTATTTTTCGAAACATCACATAATAACATGGTTTCATAACTTAAAACAACAAAATATATGTCTGTATGTCTTAACGTTTGTCTATCGGTTACGTTTTCAGGACTTAGCTACTAAAGGGATACTAATGAAATTTGATGTGAAGATAGTTTGAATTTCAAAGATTGAATAATCTGAAAAAGGAATTGAAGTAGCTATTAAAAACTGATGTATATTAATAATGATGTAAATGGTAATAACTAATACAACATCAAATTATCACAAAAAGATCACGAGACAGATTACTGAATGAGCGGTTGCTTGAAAAAAAAACGTGATGTCTATTAATAAGTGCTTCAATATTCGTTTATTTTAATAAATTATTTTTTATTCTATTCTATTCAATTAATAAACATATATTCTTTCTATCGTTATTACATTTCTGTTAATTAATATAGTTACACAAATATGTCTACAATATATTTTTAAAACATGCTTGCGTGCATTTGAAGTTACCTAGAAGGTACGACGCTCGCTAAATGTTACCTAACTTGGACGCATCGTGAATTTTGTAGCGGGATAAAATGCTGCCACGTTTGTGCTCTACCATTGTGAAATACGTCAAGAAAATAATGGCGCACAACTTTCGTATAGCAGGCTGCTCTCCAAGATAATGTCTACAGATAAATGTTAAAATTGGTGTTGTGACGGATACTTCGATGTCACTTTTATTGTATAGTCAACGTAAGATTGTATAGTCATAATACTATTGATATATACGCGAAATTTCAGAGGAGACCATGTGACGGACATTGGACATTACTTTGAAATTAAAGTGGCAGAACTGCCCTACCATTGTATTTCGAATTAATTGGGTTTATTATAGCTATGTCCACTGGAGCGTCATCTCTGGTAATGGAAGTTATATAAATTGTCCAACAAAATTCTTTTAATGTTGGGCAGATTTGTATTAAAAATTTATGGAGTAAATAAATAGTAGTAGTAAACCAAATGAAATAATTAAACTATTAAAATAATGTCTATAGAGTTATTTGTCTATAGAGCTATTTATTACAAAAATCTTTATACCTATATAATAAGATTGGCAATTTGGTATAACAGCAATATCTATGCATGGATGGATAAAACTTACGTAATTTTTATCACATAAATTATATGTCAGATTAAAGGTACATAACTATTAATGTGCAAAATAATACATCTATCTAGTATTCTGCTACTGTGCAAAATATGGTATGATAAATCAGTTAATAATGCTTCGAACTTTACTAACTGATTTATATTATAGAGTTATGAAAACATAACACAAAACTTTCAAAATTGGAATACTTTTTTATCCTTGAGATGGTAATTATCGCAAATACAATTAAGTGTAATTAATAAATTATATTATATTTATTCGATGACGGTATAAAAGCACTTCAATCAATTCATATTTCAGAAATTAATATGTTCTAGGTATTGTTTCTTTTTAAACCGCATACACATATCGTATTTATATCCATTTATTTTTTTATGGTATGGTTTGGGGTAGACATGTAATAATTATTTTCATTTCGAATTCAGAAGCGCTTTAAAATAAGGACCTTTTCTTACAGTAGGAGAAATATAGCGTGAAATTAACTTTCGAATTCAGTTCACACTGGACACCGCGGTGCTGCAGCGTTGCTCAGGTCCAAAAGACAAATGGCGGATGAAATTCTTTGTTATAAGCATCTACTTTCAGTATTCTATGTGTTCTAAACATTATTATAATTCCAGTCTACAATAGGTATTATTTAATATTATTTTGTAGATAGGTATATTTTATTTAATATTAAATAAGTATATTATTTATTTGTGTACTGCCTCTTTGTTCTGTCGTAAAGGTATTGTATTGTATCGCCTATGATACTGAGCGGTGCATATTTAAACTTGACATTTCTTTTTCTATAAAATATAGGAGTTAAATATAATTTAGTAAAGAGCTTGAACATAATGTTTTCTCTCTTTTATATGACCTACCTATGACACTATTTTTTAAGACAAAATATTTTTGTATAGATATAATTCTTGTAATAAAATTAGCATTGTGCAACTAATCTCATTGTGCGAGAGAAGCGCCGCGGCAGCTTTAACGCTGACGACAGCGGCGATGTAGATTTTACTAAAGAGAACTAAAGTTTGGAATTAGTTTGTAAGTTAATCTCTTAGCTTAATTATTAATTAATTAACTCTTTATTGCATTAGGGGATGTATTATTTGCATAAATATAATGCATATACAAATCTAGACATATATTAATTAAGCTTATTTTTCAAAACTAAACTAAACGTTTAATTTAGTCATAAAGGTGTATACCAAGTCAAAAGTTAGCATTTTTTTAATTCATGAAGCTTTATTTTACTTATAAAGTGAAGTGGTTATTAAAAAGAAATTTCATATAAATTGTGCATTCACATGATTAATGAGACGAGACATGTGAAAAGAAAATTTACCATAACATATAATAGAACTTAATTTATATTACACTGGAATTATTTCACTAGTTTCACGCGTGAACATGTACAATGTTTTGTTATTGTAAATTAGACCTTACCGTCTACTATACATGGGTTCTATATTATTTATTCAACGCTTAGTATACTTAATATTAGGATTAAAAAATACGTGCTCCCTAAATGGCACCACCTTGTTCGTCACGTGAATACTTTACGTTGTCGGTGGCGTTCATAAAAAAGACAATTTCCCTTATTGCCGCAATCTGTTACACATGTTCCGCGAGGGTTATGTCTGCAGCCGCCCTCATAAACGACAAAGTAAACCATAATTTATTGCGCAAATTTAGGGTCAAACAAAAACTCATAAATTTCTTTACAAAATTCGAACTATTCCAACATTTACAACCGACTTTAAAAAGAATAAGACCCACATTCGTACTATTTTTTTATCTTTTCTATAGACTGCATAGACTATAATATTTTTATGTTTATTGCTGCAATCGATAGTATTTACTTCAGTGATAGCTTTGTTATTACATTAATGTACTAATGAATTGAAACTGTTATTATAATCTTTAATGAGCATTAAAAAAGTGCAAAAATAACTATAAGAATGGTGAACCAAAAGGTAACTACATAATAACATGATTTTAAAGGTATGGAGGTATTCTTAGATGTAACATAATAAGTATAAACATAGAGTTAGACTGGAAAAACAAAAATCATAATAACAGATACGCAATAGCTAGAATATAGATTTACATTTGCTTGTAACTAAAACTTGTTTTCGAAAGAATATATTTACTGTGCTCATAACCCGAATATTCTTAGTTATCTTTTAACAGTTTTAATTACTTAAGGAGTAAGGGAAATATATTTAAAAACACTTTTCGAGTCATGTCGAAGAACTAATTCTATGTACTTGTGTTCTTCAGCAAGCTTCCTATGTACAAATAGATGCCTTCTGCAAGATAAATAACTAAGTATAACGTTTACCCACGTTAACGACTGACTTATACAACACGCGAAATGTTGGTATTGCTTTGAAAAATTCTAGCTGAAAGTTTTGAAAGTCTGAAACATAGCTCTTCTTTTATTCATGGCCTGACATGTGGCGTTCTCTGTGTTGTGTACAGGCTTTCTTTCCTAACAAAATAAACAGCATTTGCTTCGAGTTAGGTCCTTTGAGAGTCTGCTTCCAGCACTAATGTTTTATGAATGAGTCTTTATGTAGTTATGTCCATTATTTGTTTATATTTTAGATATTTTAAAGCATTATTTAGAAATTTATTTATATTACCTTCGAGGCCAGTAAAGCTTTGTTAATAATAATAATGAAATATTTGATTTCATTGTATCATAGTATTCATTCTCGCGATATTCTAAGAACATTTTAAGATCATCCCCACTACGTACCACGTAGGTTGTTCCCTTTATCATGAAAAACTATATCTGTCTCTATCGCACACGGAAAAAATATCACATTTTCCTGCATTTCATTCCATTTCTAGTACTTTATACTGAATCTAATTGCTTTATCATAGTGTTGGATATCCCGTCACTAGATATCGGTACTTAATACCTTTCGCAACTCCGTATAAGCACCTTGAAAGCCTTTATCCATATTAATGACGTAAATGTCTGCTTTCCTTTACGAAATTATATTAAACTCCTTAGACTTTAAGGTCTTTATTTCTTTGTCCGTTAAAAGAATTTAGGATCTTCTCGGAGTACGAATTTGTAGAAAACTTGTAAGGTACGCAACCAGGAATGTATAGGTCATCGGGAAATAGGCCTTCAGTCGCATCGCGCACATGCTGGCGTGAACACGGATTCAGCGCTAGGGTTTCGCGCGAAATGGCGGGAACTTTTCGACAACTTTCGTAATTCAGTACGCAAACATAATAATCTTCAGATTCTGCTAAGAATTTAAATAATTTAATTAAAACGTGAAAAATAATAATAAGTTAAATTGTTGAAGTTTATAAACATGTCAGAAAAGTGATATTTCGACAACTCTACACTTGTTTCTCCAAGTATGTATTGTAACGAGATATTGTTTGTAATGTGTTCTGAAATATAATTAAAATAATTTCGTTTTACTTTTTTTTTGGAACAGAACAGTAAATGGATATATTTTCAAGAACAAAAATATTTTTTTTAATTTGGTATCCAGACACATGTTTAAAAAAAAAATGTACGGACTTAAAAAAAGTACGTAAACAAGCTGCATGAATTATGATATTAACAAAATATAGTTTTTTGTTATCTTTCCTAGAAACTAAACTAATTAAAAATAATAAATTATAATAGTTTAAATTTTTATTATCAAATTTAAATTAATATCTATATTTTTGTATTAGATATAGTATTCTGCCACAGGAATTTAATTTGGTTAAAATACAAGTTTTTAACTGATATATACAGTTTTTGTGCAGTAACTCTGCAGTGCTTCCGTGAATAATCATGTATTTAGGTATAATATATAGAATAAATAACTTTATTTAATGTAGTAGATTTTTTTAAAGATTGCCTTAACCTTGCGATTATTCACAAGGACAAAATCTTTAAAAAAAATCTACTTTACTGCTTTTAACTAGTTCTAAATATACCTATATATAATTGATAGATATATCTATTAATAAAATTGATAGATAGATATATCTATTAATAAAAAAAAACACCTTCAAATGTAAATAAAAATCTGCAGTAAAAATATTTATAGATTTAAAAAAAAAATTATCGAATTTAAAAAAATTATCTAGTTTAAAAAATATGTCGCCGGGTTTTGGTGTTAATAAAATCTAAAATCGTAAAATAATTATATTATATATATATATATATATATATTACCCTACTCTACTACTCTACCCTGACTACTCGGACCCTACTTCATCCCTACCATTCTTACTACTGAGAAATAAATAAGTTCCGCTTAAAAGAATGTAACATTGACAATCATTTCGCAAATCTAAGTTGGTGTTATGCCGATAGCAGCGCCACCTATCGAGTCCGATTGTAATTTACACCACCCAGTTGCACATTAGATAAAGCACATATGCAAAAATTTTCATACAAATCGGTCAGAGAAGTTAGGTGACAAACATAAGAATTATATATATTAAGAGCTGATATTATAAATTTTTCTCGTATAAAATGACCCACATACATCTATTCGATCCGTCTTGCCATAGGCACTCATACATTCGAACTCAATTTCAGGTTTAAAGTTATTAATACACTTCACCAAACATCTATAATAGGTAATATATGAAAAACTATAATAATAAACTAAACTATAATGATAAAAAAAATAACAACTGTAATTAAATGTAAAGACGTATTAACAAAATCTCCAAAGAGCATCAAAAGAAATCAACGAACACTAAAATTAATAAGTGTAGTGATCTATATATTAATCTTAATCCTAGATACAGATTATAATGGATGTTCTTAACTTTCAGACATACTTGATGCTCGCTAGTAAAGTATTTTTTATAAAAGTTATTAATGGGTGAAATAGCTAATAATATATCTACATAGTATATTAGTTATGGAGGTCACACAAAACGCAAGCGCCCATAAATATACGGAAACATATTAACAATATAACCGTATGATGTATCTGAGCTTTAAAAATAATATTTGAATAAATGAAAATTCCATTCTGACCGATGCATTCGGGATTGCAGCCGAGCTGGGCCTCGCCTCACCGCGTGGGGAGGTTTTAATTCCCTTGACTGTTGCGAATCGGCGCATGTTTTTTCATTAAAACGCATTCAATATGACGACGACGTAGCTTTGAAAAAGCGAACCTTTTCAAAAAATATTTTCATTGACATCCCAGTCCGCAATGCTCCCCATCCATCTACTATTTGAATAATGGCTCTTCTATTAAGAGTCATTATTAAAGAGCATTTTAAAAAAAATATTATATAAAATTTCTTATCATACAAGATAGTAAGTTATAATATATTTTCCATGATACAATTACGAGAAACTTTTTCATAGTTCAAAAATTACTTAACATTAATAATCATAACCCTGCGACTATTCGCACAGCATCATCTATTATATGTAGTTCCAAACTAAGCACAGCTTGTTTTATGGATAGGGTAGTGTAATATACATAAACACCCCAACTAACACAATCACTTATGCACATGAATACAAATGTTTGCATCGTGCAAGGTATTGAATCCGCGATCACCGGAAGTAATGTGGCGTGAACCTTTAGACTACCGAGGTCGTTAATTTGTTTTTCATATTTCTACTGTGGAATCAAAATAAATAACATAACCCCGCGGTTTTTTTTCTTTGGATGAAATATTTGATTCTGACGAATATTCTTAAATGAAAGGACAACACGAAACTTATTTCATGTCCTTTAATTACAGCTTCCTTATTATTGGCCATTATTAAAATTTATTAATTCTCTTCTAAAACTTCTCGTAGATCGAACTCATATTATAAGTATAGGTAATGATAATTACATTAAAATTGGACATGTTGTAATTCCAAACCTCTTCTTTTGGCCATATTCTTATACTCTGAAATCTTATATCAGTTATGATTATGACTGGAAGAATCGACTCTTAAAATTCTATGTTTTTGCTAAACATAGAATTTTAAGATACTACTGATAATCGTAATTTCCAGTTGTTCTTTCAAATAAAAGTTTCAGTGTATATATACACCCAGACAATATATACTAACAAAATTACATATCTTGAAGTAAGAAAGTTGTTAATCATTAATTATTTCATTTTAAATGTTTGCGTTAATAAACAGTTGTGAAATACATATTAACAATATACCTCTAGTAATCCTTTAGTAGGCATGTACTCGTATAACTTTATCTACTTACGTTAATTATAGTTTCTTAGCTGACATTCGGGGTGTGCTGAAGTGGTTTTGTTGCGGTCGCAATGACACCCTCACTTCTCCATTAGTACACCATGAAGCAGGGTTAACGACCAGTTCGCGTGATATCGAACCACTTTACGCTTATTTATACGATGAGGCGCACAAACCAACACTCCACATTCGAATGTTACATAGCACAGCGCGACATATCAAATTTCTATTATCAAAAAGAAACATAACATAAGCATAACATTTTGATCAGAAATAAACAGTCGAATGCGACTAGAACTATGGGAATAAGCGCATTTATTATACCACGTCAAGAAAGAACTCACTATTGTTATGTATGATATCACATGGATAACTCACGTTGTGAGCTCTGTAACTGGGGTTTTAATTATTTGGAAACTATATAAAATGTATTTATATTATTTTTCTGCGATATGTAAAATGGGTCATCTTTGAATATTCTAAATCAATTTTGATAACTGTCTTTTAGTCGACAGTCGACAGTCGTCTTTAAGTCAGATTTTTAGGACATTTTCAACTCTATTATTGGATACTGGTTTTTAATCAAAACGGTTTTTAATTATTCTTTTTGTTATCGATAGTAAACTCTACTATGATAGTGATTACATTAGATTATATATATTAATAATAAATATTATTAATATAAAATACATATTTCTTTGTTACAGATACAATGACTATAAATGGAATGGTTACGAGACAGCATTTGATATCCAGTTAATAATATTTACTGCCATAAAATTATATTTTTAAAATGAAAAAGACTAAAAGAAGAGTTCATGAGTGCTAGAGTATCATAGACAAATCCGATGTCGGGCCCGAAAGAGACCGTGTCATAGACAATGCACAACTTGTTTCAAGCGGCTATAGTGTCGGCTTTATTGCAGATACTGTTCTCCTTTACAGGTAAGCACAATGTAGTAAATTATACTTAAAGTATAATATATAACCAAATAATATATACACACGCTTTGTACAAGTTATATTGTGCATTAAAGAATAAATAAATTGTTACTGATAAAAAAAAAACAAAATAATTATATTGCTCCTGTATTATATTTACATGACTACAATTATTAACATTAATGACAATTTAATAACAATAGAAAAGTGTCCAATAAATACATAAGACCTTAACAATTTAAAATTAAGCAAATTAAAGAAAAAACATAAAAAAGAACATATGATATTTCAGCAACGTAAATAGAACTTTTCAATAATAATTAAGTAGTACATCATAACTTAGAAATTAATAATATAAAAATATAGTAACTAATAACGCATCTGAAATTCTATATAATTTCAGAAAATACAAGGCATAACATGCAATCTTGTAATTAGTGTTTTACAACGGTTAGTGTACTCATGGTTAAGTATCATGAAAATTAATTCATAGCATAAAATAATAGGTATTATTTCTATTTAGCGTTGATATAATAAGAAATAGTTCTAGTATTTAGAAAATAAGTTTTGAAGTATACACACACATACAAATATTATAAGTTATATTTTTCTTGTACTTAGTCACACTTTCTTAGATGTGAAACATATAGGAAAGCATGGAGCTATCTGAGAGGTGCATAAACATATACTTTTACGTATTACAGTACTAATGTCACTATTTTGTAAACTCTTATGTATAGATATGTTTAAAGTGTTTCACCAGCAGTTGTTATGACTAGCATAGAAGCAGGTAGAATATGCATGAGTATTAGATGCTACTGTTGATTAAATTCTTTCTGTTGCAAAAATATTTTCAGTCATGGCTTATAAACACTCAAATTGAGACTTTTCGGCAGTCGATAAATGTATGTAGTAAATTCACGAATCATTAATTAAGGAGGTACGTTTCATTCTGTTTAAAAACTATATTAAGTACCTATCAGGAAAGAGCTTATTCGTGCAAGAGAAATCCACCAATTAGAGTCAGGTTCTTTGTTCTACTCGTATGTTCGTTACTCGATGTTTACTGACAATGTAGGTCAGGCCAATATTTCCTTTGATCGGACGATGGCGACAATACGGCATTAGGTGAACGAAGCAAAGACAAGCGAAGCCGTCACCCGTCGGCAACAACGGAAGCAGCTGCGTCGGTCGCGTGCTATTTGCCAATTTATCACTAAGCTGATTATATATATAGGCCCGTTCTTGTGACGTGCTTTATGACCTTGTTTGCTCTCCTTCTATTGTTTCGCTCCTTTATTTACACACCTTTTAAATCGAAGAAAAAGGCAATGGTGAATGAAGTTTATGTCAACATTTTTGAGGAAATGTCAAAGAATTTATTATAATTTTTTTACATTAATTCTAAATACGGCTCAGTACCAATTGTTTTTTATATCTAATTAAATATATTAAAAATAATATAACTGTTATTAAAGATAAGGTAGCCAGAGGCACTATCAACGTTAGTCGACGTCAGTGAACACAACACCTGTCAAACGAACATTTCGCTGAGTATATTTGAATCCTATGTGGCTTATGGCTTATATTATTGCCTGCTTGAATTATTTTTTGTTTATTTACAATTGTTCCCATCACAGTTTTCTGTGATGGGAACAATTGTCAGTCGATAGAAGTTATCACACAGATTTTTTGTTCAACCATTGCGCTCTTAAAATTTGTGCGTATCACACAAATATCTAATGGTAGTTACGTAACTACGTACCTAGCAGTACTACGTAATAGAAGTTACAGTAGATGTACAGTATCGACGAGATATCGACCTAAATTTGCAGCCGGGATTTTCGGAATCCATTTCAACAGTGAAAGCCATGATAGGTATTACAGTGCTTTGTACTAGTAACAAGTGGTGTTGTGATTTGATTATGCATAGACTTTACATACTTTAATAACATTATCTATTGTTTTCGGGTTATAATTTTTCGCACAGAAATATTTTGCTTATGTTCTTATGAGAATTTTTGGTAAAATCCTTAACTGTGTAAGCTTAGTGAAACTCTTAGCCACTCAATTACTTTTTCGCATTATATAGTTCATCACCATCTTTCATGTAGTTCATTCACATATTTTTACTTACCTCTCTACCTATATAAGAGTTCATGTTCATCCTAACTAACATTATAATTGGAAGTATGTGAATGAAGGACTGTATTATTGGGCTGGTAAATATAATTATGCAAACATGGGTTTTAGAAAGAAATAATATAATTTTATTTACAAAAGTATAATAGTTAGCAGAACAAGAGTAAAAATCACAAATATATTTTTCTATATAATATAATAGAGAAAATACCTAAATAATATATAAAGAGGTGCGTCGTGCACGAAAGGAAAAGCTTCTCAAACTCCAACAGCACTTAACATTATTGTTTCTGTCAAATACCAATAAATCTACATCTGCTTAATGTAGTTATGAATAGACAGGTGTGTTGCTACCACTTCAGATAGTCCTATGGGATATCACATAACTCATGTGTCAACCGTAATGCATTCCGTGTTCTAAGCTTAAACTGATTTCCTATTCAATACATCTATATTACTTGGTTTTCATTTCAGAAAAGTTTCTTAGTCCTTCTATTTGTCTATTATCAATTTGTATATTTAGATAAGGTATTGCAGATTATATTTTGAATGACAGATTAGATTTTTAAAAGACAGTAGTGTAAATTATAGTTATGTAGCATAGGAATACATTAGAAAGTGTTCTCAAATATGTTTGGGAGGTTTGTTTTCTGGAAATCAAGTCGGAAAACGCAAAATTTACTCAGTACCTGACGTATTGTTTCTCACTGTCTAGGTGTAGAGGTAGTTAGACTTAACTATTTGGCCTATTTATTGCACATCTAAGTTATTTGAATAGAGTAATAGCTACATATGAGTTTTGGATAGAGAATTTCCTCTAAGAATTATTATACATACCTATCAATTAGATGTGATTTAATTGTACTAAAGAATTGCGCAGCTGAACTTTCTCCTATACTGACACGTTTATTCCGTTTGTCCTATTCAACTGGAATAGTACCCATCTCCTGGAAGCTTCCAAATATCCAACCGGTACCCAAAGGAGGTGATCGAGCAAACCCTTCTAACTATCGTCCCATTGCTATTACATCCGTAATTTGTAAAGTTATGGAGCGTATATTAAATAACCATCTCTTAACGTACCTAGAAGACAATGAGCTCCTCAGTGATCAACAGTACGGATTTCGAAAAAACAGATCTACTGGCGACCTCTTAGTGTACGCTACGCATCAATGGGGAGAAGCTATTGAGAAATATGGTGAAGCTCTTGCTGTATCTCTTGATGTTTCCAAGGCGTTTGACAGGGTTTGGCACGATGGACTTATAAGCAAACTTCCCTCCTTTGGTATCCCTAATAGTCTTTGCTGCTGGGTTTCGAACTTTTTAAAAGATCGTTCGATAAGGGTAGTCATTGACGGCTGCTCTTCTGACTTCTTTAACATCAATGCCGGGGTGCCTCAGGGGTCTGTTCTTTCCGCTACATTATTTTTGCTATATATGAATGATGTGCTTAAACCCTGGGGTATGCTGACGATAGTACTATTTCAGATAGGTACCTGCTTAATAGTAGTGCCGGGGGGGGGGGGGGGGGCAGAGTTGAATTCCCAACGTCAGAGTTTGATTCGGCGAATAGATCAGAAGCTACAGACGGTATCTGACTGGGGTGATGCTAATCTCATGAGATTTAATGCTACAAAAACCCAAGCTTGTCTTTTTTCCACTAAAAAGAACCCCTTTAACCTATCTCCAACTTTTCGAAATGCATCTGTCCCGGTTTCTGACCATCTCGATCTTCAAGGTTTAACAATATCATCCATCCTAAATTTCGGGGCATATATTGAATCTAGAGCTAAAACGGCATCAAAAAAACTGGGCGTCCTCTCAAGGGTTAGGAGATACTTCACGCCTGGACAGCTTTTAACGCTATACCAAGCACAGGTCCGATCTTGCATGGAGTATTGTTCCCACTTATGGCATGGATCCGCTCAGTACCAACTTGACGCTCTAGATTCAATCGACAGACGAGCAAGGAGACTTATCGGGGACGAATTACTTGTAGCTAAGAGGCTTCAAAGTCTTAATCACCGACGTAAAGTAGCTTGTCTATCGGTGTTCTATAGGCTCCATTTTAGCGAATGTGCTCAAGAACTGCACAACCTCATTCCTCCAGCACCGTTCCATCAACGTACAACAAGACGTAGAGAGCGACTCCACCCCTACACTATTGACATCCCAGCTGCTCGAACTAACCGTTTTGCATCATCTTTCCTTATGCGAGCAGCTAAGGAGTGGAACTCTCTACCAGCGTCTATTTTTCCTGCCTCTTACAACATTGGATCTTTTAAGTCAAGAGTGAATAGGTATTATTTGAGCTTGCGTGTAACAGCTTAGACCACATCATCACTTAACATCAGGTGAGATTGCGGTCAAACGCGCTCAATATATGATATAAAAAAAAAAAAGTGTCATATTTTTGGAGTTTACCATGAAGAATATTTTTCTTATTCATAAGGTTAAGAAATTTTGGCTTTCTTATTTGGCGCAATCCAAGATATAAATTGATACGAAAACTTTCTTTATGTCGGCCAGATTTAAACTATAATAACGATTGGGTTTAAATTGGACAGTAGATCACTGGGCTGGATCGGCCTCATTTAGTAATTTTACATTTGAATGTAAATAAAAATATGTAGATGCAGTACTATAACCATACAGCAATATTCTGTTTTCAGTAAGTCTGGAGCAGGTGTGGCCGGCCTTTGCTCGAGAGACCGACGGCAAATCCGCATACGACTTTAATTTAACTTTGCTTCATTGAGCATTATCCTAACGTTACACTAAAATTACCTACGCTTCTGTTACTGGAGCTTTATTATAATTAACCAGAGACAACAACTCTGTTTTCATTATATTTTAATTAT